CTCACCACTCTTATTCAATATAGTTTTGGAAGTTTTAGCCACAGCAATCAGAGGAGAAAAGGAAATAAAAGGAATCCAAATCAGAAAAGAAGTAAATCTGTCACTGTTTGCAGATGACATAATACTATACATAGAGAATCCTAAAGGTGCTACCAGGAAACTACTACAACTAATCAATGAAATTGGTAAAGTAGAAGGGTACAAAATTAACGCACAGAAATCTCTGGCATTCCTATACACCAATGATGAAAAATCTGAAAGTGAAATCAAGAAAACACTCTCATTTACCATTGCAACAAAAAGAATAAAATATCTAGGAATAAATCTACCTAAGGAGACAGAAGACCTGTATGCCGAAAATTATAAGACACTGATGAAAGAAATTAAATATGAAACAAATAGATGGAGAGATATACCATGTTCTTGCATTGGAAGAATCAACATTGTGAAAATGACTCTACTACCCAAAGCAATCTACACATTCAATGCAATCCCTATCAAAACACCATTGGCATTTTTCACAGGACTAGAACAAAAAATTTCACAATTTGTATGGAAACACAAAAGACCCCGAATAGCAAAAGCAATCTTGAGAATGGAAAACGGTACTGGAGGAATCAGGCTCCCTGCCTTCAGATTATAGTACAAAGGTACAGTCATCAAGAAAGTATGGTACTGGCACAAAAACAGAAATATAGATCAACGGAGCAGGATAGAAAGCCCAGAGATAAACCCACACACATATGGTCACCTTATCTTTGATAAAGAAGGCAGGAATGTACAGTGGAGAAAGGACACCCTCTTCAATAAGTGGTGCTGGGAAAACTGGACAGGTACATGTAAAAGTATGAGATTTGATCACTCCCTAACACCATACACAAAAATAAGCTCAAAATGGATTAAAGACCTAAATGTAAGGCAAGAAACTATCAAACACTTAGAGGAAAACATAGGCAGGACACTCTATGACATAAATCACAGCAATATCCTTTATGACCCACTTCCTAGAGAAATGGAAATAAAAAGAAAAATAAACAAACGGGATCTAATGAAACTTCAAAGCTTTTGCACAGCAAAGGAAACCATAAACAAGACAAAAAGACAACCCTCAGAATGGGAGAAAATATTTGCAAATGAAGCAACTGACAAAGGATTAATCTCCAAAATTTGTAAGGAGCACATGCAGCTCAATAACAAAAAAAACAAATAACCCAATCCAAAAATGGGCAGAGGTCCTAAATAGACATTTCTCCAAAGAAGATATGCAGACTGCCAACAAACACATGAAAGAATGCTCAACATCATTAATCATTAGAGAAATGAAAATCAAAAGTACAATGAAATATCATCTCACACCAATTAGAATCACCATCATCAAAAAATCTAGAAACAATAAATGCTGAATAGGGTGTGGAGAAAAGGGAACACTCTTGCACTGCTGGTGGTAATGTGAATTGGTACAGCCACTATGCAGAACAGTATGGAGGTTCCTTAAAAAAGTGCAAGTAGAACTACCATATGACCCAGCAATCCCACTACTGGGCATATACCCTGAGAAAACCATAATTCAAAAAGAGTCATGTACCAAAATGTTCATTGCAGCTCTATATACAATAGCCCGGAGACAGAAACAACCTAAGTGTCCATCATTGGATGAATGGATAAAGAAGATGTGGCCCATATATACAATGGAATATTACTCAGCCATAAAAAGAAACAAAATTGAGCTATTTGTAATGAGGTGGGTGGACCTAGAGTCTGTAATATAGAGTGAAGTTAGTCAGAAAGAGAAAGGCAAATACTGTATGCTAACACATATATATGGAATTTAAGAAAAAAATGTCATGAAGAACCTAGGGGTAAGACAGGAATAAAGGCACGGACCTACTAGAGAATGAACTTGAGGATATGGGGAGGGGGAAGGGTAAGCTGTGAGAAAGCGAGAGAGAGGCGTGGACATATATACACTACCAAACGTAAGGTAGATAGCTAGTGGGAAGCAGCCGCATAGCACATGGAGAGCAGCTCGGTGCTTTGTGACCGCCTGGAGGGGTGGGATAGGGAAGTTGGGAGGGAGGGAGATGCAAGAGGGAAGAGATATGGGAACATATGTATATGTATAACTGATTCACTTTGTTATGAAGCAGAAACAAACACGTCATTGTAAAGCAATTATACTCCATTAAAGATGTAAAAAGAAAACAAAACCAACAAAAAGACTACAATGAGGTTTCACCTCACACCAGTCAAAATGGCTATCATCAAAAAATTTACATACAATAAATGCTGGAGAGGGTATGGATAAAGGACAACCCTCCTACACTGTTGTTGGGAATGTCAATTGGTACAGCCACTATGGAGAGCAGTATGGAGGTTCCTTAAAAAACTAAAAATAGAACTACCATATTACCCAGCAACCCAACTCCTGGGCATATTTCTGGAGAAAACCATAATTCAAAAAATACATGCAGAACAGTGTTCACTGCATCACTAGTTACAGTAGCTGGGACATGGAAGCAACCTAAATGTTCATCAAAAGAGGAATGGATAAAGAAGATGCAGTACATATACACAGTGGACTCTTGCATAAAATAACAAAATAATGCCATTTGTGGCAACATGGATGGACCTAGAGATTGTCATAGTGAGTAAAGTAAGTCAGACACAGAAAGACAAATACCATATCATATTGCTTATGTGTGGAATCTATAAAAAAGTGTACAAATGAACTTACTTAGAAAACAGAAGTAGAGTCACAGATGTAGAAAACAATCATTGTTACCAGGGGATAAGCGGGGGAGGGATACATTGGGAGGTTGAGATTGACATAAACACACTACTATATATAAAATAGATAACTAATAAGGACCTACTGTATAGCACAGGGAAATCTACTCAGTACTCTGTACTGGCCTGTATGGGAAAAGAATCTAAACAAAGAGTGGATATATGTATATGTATAACTGATTCACTTTGCTGTACACCTGAATGTTAACACAACATTGTAAATCGACTATACTCCAATAAAATTTTTAGAAAAAGAAATTAAAGAGGATCTAAATTGAAAAGGATCCCATGCTTATTGACCAGAAGACAGTTTTGTTTACATGGCAATAATACCTGAAGTGTCCTACATATTCAATGAATTTTCTGTAAAAATTCCAGTGGGATCTTTTTTAACAGAAATTAACAAGCTTAACCTAAATCCCATATGGAAAAGCAAAAGACCACAAACAGCTAAAGCTTTCTTGAAAAGAAAAGTTTAGAGACTCACACTCCTGCTTTCACAACTTCAATAAAATGCTATAATAATCAAGACAGTATGGTACTAGCATAAAGACAGATAAATAGATTAATGGAGTGAAACTGAAAGTCTACATATTTGCCCTTACATTTATGGTAGTTTGATTGACAAGGATGCCAAGTCAATTTAATGGGGGAAAGGATAGCATATTCCATAAATGAGTCTGGGACAACTGGATATCCCCATGCACAAGAATGAACTTGGATACCTAATTTACAATATATAAAAAATTAACTCAAATGGATCCTAAATCTAAATGTAATAGATAAAAATATAAAACTCTTTAGAAGACAATGTGGGTGTAAATATTAATGACCTTGTATTAGTCAATGGTTTCTTACATATGATACCAAAAGCACAAGTGAGTAAAGAAAAAAATAGATGTATTGGACTTTCTCAAAATTAAAAACTTGTGCTACAAATGATACAATCAAGATAGTGAAAAGACAATCCATGGAATGGAAGAAAATGTTTGCAAATCATATCTCTGATAAGGGACTTGTATCCAGAATATATAAATATCTCTTGCAATTCAACAATAAAATAGCAAATAATACAATTTAAAAATGAAGAAAGACTTTAGTCATTTCTTCAAGAAGATATACAAATGCTCAGTAAGCACATGAAAAAATACTATGCAACACTAATTATTGGAGAACTACAAATCAAGAGTGCAATGAGATACCACTTCCCACCCCTTAGAATGGCTACAATCCAACAGATGGACAATAACAAATGTTTGGGAGGATGGAGAGAAATTGGAATCCTCTTACATCACTGGTGGGAATGTAAAATGGTGCAGCTGTTTTGGAAAAGTCTAGCAGTTCTTCAAAAAGTTAAACAGAGTTACCATGTGCTCAGCAATTCTACTCTTCTTTATATACTCAAAGAAATGAACACATATGTCCACACAGATTTGTACCCAGATATTTACAGTAGCATTTTTCAAAATTGAAAACAGCCCCTAAATGTCCATCAGTTGATGAATGGATAAATAAAAGGTTGTACATCCATAAAATGGACTATTATTTAGTAACAAAAATCAATGAAGTACTGACACATGCTAAAACATGGATGAATCTTGAAAACATGCAAAGTGAAAGAATTCAGCCACCAAAGACCACATTTTGATTATCCCATTTATGTGAAATGTCAAAAACAGACTTTTGCTGAAACTATTCATAAAGAGTCACTTCTATTTGGTTTTGCTAAATTGTTGAGATGTAAGCTATGGTCGTACTGCTAACATGAGGAGAGACCCTGCCTAAGAATGACGTCTATCCAGGAAAGAGCAGAGCCAAAAGATATACAGATTTCTGAAGACATATTTTGATCACACAAATCCATCTGGACACCAAGCAATCCCAATTACGTGAATTAACTAATTCCCAGTTTAAGTTGGGTTTCTGGCATGTGCAACTGAAAGAGCCCTGACTAATATGGTTGGTTAAACAACTAATTATTTGCTTTTCACTTTCATTGTATTTACTGTATTGTAAATACAGTAAAAGTGTGCTCTTGAATTTTATTGACCATAATAGCTATGTCTTTTTGTGAACATTCATTCTTCAGTAGAATTATTGGCCAGCAGAAAACACCAAACTCTGTCTAGGGGCATATATATCAGTTAAACATGCTATAACTTGGATTATAACATAACCAAAGTCATATCCAAATTTCATTAAAAATACATTACTTTCTAGTGGTAATAGTTGTCCTTCCACCACTGGAGGGTTGGTTATGAGATGAATATATTTCTTGTCTCAACTTCGAGAGTTCCTTACAAATAAAAGACAATATAATCATTTGAAAACCATAGAAACATGAGGTAAGAGGTATGTTTGATAATTTAACAACGTTACTAAAGAATAATTACTTTTTTCCCTTCCTTTTTAGCCTTGAGGTAAGAATGTTCCAATCCCACTTGTTGAATTCCATATAGTCTTGCTTCATGGTACCTAATCAGTTACATTATAAGTCTCTGCAGGAATCCACTAACTGGTTCTATACTTAAGGGATAACATGAGATAGAATGGGCATGATTCTCAAGATGAAGATGTGAAAATTTTTGTTCCAAAAAGATTTAAATGTGTATCTATAGCAGAAAAATATGAAATTTCAATATGGAAGTAGATATTGTTTCATAACAGAAAATCTATCACTGAATGTTACTACAAATACCATTTGTTCAATAACAGCAATACAACATTAGCCACGATTTGGGTAGTTTCTTCCTTCAGTACCTATTTTATGACAGATCTTGGGCTACATGCTACAGACATAGAAAGGAATATAACACAGTCCCTTGCTGAAGCAGCTCACAGCCTTATTGGGAGTTTGACTGCCAATGAGGTAGAAAATCAATGTCTTAAAATTATTAAAGGCACAATAGCACATATTTTTTGCTTCAATTCTAGCTTTCATTTGAATTATTTCTCCTGAAATGTGAGTCTTCTACTTCTCGTAGGCACTCACATTCTACTTCATGAATAAAGTAAGTCTTGGAAACATGTCTTTTTATAGTTTGTGGGAAGTATTTATCCTACAGGGCTGAGTTGTATGGTTTGTCTCCACCTTGACCCCTTCTCTGTTACCTCCGATTGATGCTTTATAAGGGAATCCTTCTCTTCCAGCAAGCTTGTCAGTTCATGAATCTTGAATTGGAAGTCACTGCAACTTCCTTCTCTTCTTGAAACATCTTTTTGGTACTGATTTAATTGAGTCTAAGGATTTAAAAAGAACTAAGAATTATTATAATTCTCATTAACAAAATGGGTAACTGAGTTCCAGAGAGGTTAAGTGACATAAAGTCATACAGGTAGTTATGAAATGAAGAGCAAAATACCAATAGTTATAAACATTTAAAGAGCTTTATGAATGTAATATGTGAACTGAAATGCCAATTAGGAATTTCTCACTTTTTTAAGATTTATTGTTTATTTTTGGCTGTGTCGGATCTTAGTTGCAGTACATGGGATCTTCATTGAGGCTTCTACCTAATTGTGGCATGTGGGGTTTCTCTTCTCTAGTTGTGGCGCGCAGGTTCCAGAGCACATGGGCTCTGTAGTTTGTGGCAACGTGGGCTCTCTAGTTGAGGTGCACGAGCTCAGTAGTTGTAGCATGTGGGCTCTAGCTGCCCCATGGTATGTGGGATCTTAGTTCCCTGACCAGGAATCGAACCCGAGTCCCCTGCATTGTAAGGTGGATTCTTTATCACTGGACCACCAGGGAAGTCCAATAAATTTCTCATTTTTAAAAGGTGACTTTACTATTTAGGCTTAAGCATTACTTAAGTAAAAGTCCTAGGCAACAAGAATTAAAATAAAGCTAAGAAAACAGGTACTTTATATTCCTTCAAATACTAATTAAGGAAAACTCAATAACAAATATTATATCATAATTTGCAGTTCACAACATATTCCTCCTGCATGACTCATCTCAGTCCTCACAGCAGCCCTCCGAGATAAGTATTATTATAATCTTTATTTACAAAACAGGTAAATGAGATCCAGAGACACAAAGGCACAACAGCTACTAAGCAACATAGCTGCAACTCTATGACAAGTCTTCTGACTGCAAATCCTGTCCATTTCCCTTTTTACTGCATTATGTGTGCACAGATGGCTGTTTAGGTTAAAGTGTTATTAGTAACGTTCAGATGGAAAATAAACCAGTGGAGGACATCTGCAAGAAACATCAGCAGACTTTTGAACAAATTCTATTTTGTTTCATTTTGATTTTTGGTAAAGACTGTACATTATATTTGGAGAGAAAAAACTGTGGTCAGTTTTTCTATTAAAATATTTGAGTTTATATAACTACAATTAGGAATCAGTAAATTAAGGGTTAGTCAATTTGACCTAGAATGACAAAATAAGGCAATGTATATTTATTCTCACAAATATCACCTTAATTTTGATGCCAATTACAGGTATATAATTCAACAGTTCTTATCCATGTGCTTGACAAAACTCTTGCTAGCTATCATCCTTCAAAATCAAGTGAGGATATTTATGAAGTCAAATGCGGCTTCACTGGATAATCTTGAAAGTTGCTTGGCTGCATAGAGCAAGCTTTAGGCAAGATCATAAAGTGTTCCCCTGTCACCATAAATAAATAAATAGAAATTAAAAATCAACAACCCTGCACTTAAGGTCTTCTTTTGCTTTCCTAGAAAAGATGAAGCTAAATTACAAGACAATTTAACAATATTCCCTACATAGTGATATGTATTTAAAGAAATGGTTCTATGGCATACTCCTAAAACTCTACCTTTGGTTGATTTTTCTTTGTAGCATTAAACTTGAGACTATCATTATCTTATTAGAAAGTTTGTGCTGAACTGTGTATTTATGCAGTGTAGGATCTATATACCCTTAGTTTGCAGATCTCTCTATCTTTCTCCATTCTTAAGCTTTTTACCATCTCCATGTAATGGTTGCCAATCTCAGCCATTTTAGCCTGCAGCATCGGGCCTGTGCAAGTCTCTGAGAGCTACACAAGACAAAATAAATTTCTGTAGTTAGACTGTTATGAAAGAAACACATATTATATTACAAGACATTAATAGATGAAAACCACTTGATTAAACAAGACATTGAAATAATGAGAGTGATTTTTAGGAACTGCATTATACAGCTCAGATGGCAGTGAGTTAAGACCTAACTGCATGTGAGATCATCAGAAATCTGTATATATATATATATATATATATATATATATATATATATATATATATATATAGAGCCAATGCTAGGATTACAACCATATAACTAAGACAATAACACTCATTTAAAACAAAATTTGAATACCTGCACTCTAAGATTTTTATTCTCTTGCTCTAAATTACGCTTACAGTATTCCAGTTCTTTTAGTTTATATTCTATGTCTGATAGTGTATGCCGAAGAGAAAGATTGTTTTCTTCCAATGCTTGGCATTTTGAGGTTGAGTCTTGAAGTCCTTGCTGTAAAGACACAGTAAATAAGACAAATGGATTCTACTTTTTGGGAGAGAGTGCTTTTAGTTGATTAATTCAATGAAACAAAGCAAATATTGATATTTTTCCATGCCCAGTTTTCTTATATATTTAACTTTAAAAGGTAAGTTAAGGGCTTCCCTGGTGGCGCAGTGGTTGAGAGTCCACCTGCCGATGCAGGGGACTCGGGTTCATGTCCCAGTCCGGGAAGATCCCACATGCCGTGGAGCGGTTAGGCCCGTGAGACATGGCCACTGAGCCTGCGCGTCTGGAGCCTGTGCTCCGCAACGGGAGAGGCCACAACAGTGAGAGGCCCGTGTACCGCAAAAAAAAAAAAAAAAAAAGGTAAGTTAAATCAGCTATGAAAGACATCATTACCCTCACTTGCCTATCTTGAGTGAGAAGGAATCAAGGTCAGATGAATTTTCAGTGTACCAATCTAGCAACCTGACTCTTGCTGCTTTTTGACAATACCGTAACCTGCCTTTTAGTAGGCACCAAAATGACCATATGCCTGATTATGTGACAAATGAAAACTCAGCCAAATTTGGGACTGTCATGGGAATGAATTTTAAGAATGGACTGGCCTCAGAGACTCATTACGATTTCCTAAGAATCCTCTCTGCTCAGGTATCTGGAGAAATCTTCTAGAGTTCATTCATTCAGTTATTCATTGCACAAACATGTGTTAAGATCTACAAAAACTTTTTTATTGACACATTAGTAGATTAAATGAACGAGTGAACTTAGATTTTCAATATTTATACAATTTTTGTCACCCAACAAAACAGATAATTGTGGATAGTATATACTTTATATCTAAAATACCTGGGGTTATCTATTTTTCTGAGAGGGCTTCAGTATTTGGAAATACCTAAAGCCACTCAATTCCCATATGAAAAAATTGTTCCATCATATTTAATTTTCTGGATTATATCTCATAACTCCAATGTGCTAGTAATTGTGCATATGAAAAACTATCAAATTTATTATCAAAGAAAATGTCAACTTACCTGCTGCTGGCGATTATTTGCTCTCACTGATGCTAAGAGTTCTTCATACTCTTTTATTTGAGTTTCTTTGAATGCCAAGTCTTTCTCAAGTCTTATCTTGTCATTTTCCAGTGACTAGAAGCAAAATTATTTATGACTCAGAATTACAGAATCCTGTCAACAGTTATGTAATACAAAGACCTGTTTACATTGGAAGGTTTAAATAAGCACTTGTTTCATTTGTAATTGTTTAATAAAACGGAATTCTTAAAAGTTAATCAAACTATGGGATACAAAGGATTGAAAATTTAAAAACCTGCATCAATGGACATTTTGATGAATTGACTAATTGTAAGTACAATGAAGCAGAACCTTTTGAATTATTTTAATGTTTTTCGTCAATCTACAAAGACCCTTGTTAATCCCAGCAGGTGGTGAATTTTCAAATTAAGAGTCTAAATGTGTTCATCAGAACCCAGAAACAAGAAAGCCCACTCCAAAGTCCCCAAGGAGTTATTCATTGTATGGAAAGTATTCTGAATGTATCTAGCTGATGTCATGAAGAGCACCAATTAAAATAGAAAATGTTAAGTTCTTAGAGAAAGAAGTTTTCAAGTATTCAAATAAATTCAAAGTATGCTTTATTATTACAGAAAAGGGGAAATTATGAATCAGAGTCAGATTATTGTAATTTTACAAACTACTCCCTGGTTTTAAGCATTAAATTACCTTAGCGGTAAACTAAGTAGTAAGTGTTCACCCAACTTTCATTTTCACATTGGATAATTCTTTACTCCTCTCTCCCAACCCCAATTAACTATTTCAGGAAAATAACTATATCTGGGTGAGCACAATGTTGTTGTGTTGTATTAAATTTTAAAAAGGTATACTGAATGCTTTGATTTCTATGTTATGAAGCTAGGATCTAGAAAAGATTTGGAAAGAAAAATCAAAATAAATGTTACTGTCAAGTCATTCTGAAGATTTCCAAGCTCTTCCCGTATGTTGCTGAATGTGGACAGCACTAGCCGGAGTGATTTATCAGACATACCCCTCATCTGGAGGAAGAAAATTATTGATGGTTTATTTTTACTAGCATTTAAAAATAGGCAGTATAAGTAATAATAATCTTATTTTTTCTATTCCTACAAGCAAACTTATTAACAGTTTCATTTTTGATATGGCAATATTAGAATAGTGATGCAGGGCATTTGGTCAATAACATGCATTAGTAATCCAAGCAATATCCCTGAAGAGTACCTGAAGAGATCATAGCTATGCTATTAAAACAAGGGTCTCTTATTTTTTCCATGATAAAGTATCATCTTTCTCATGACAGAAATGTATCATCAAATTCTTAAACTTACTTTTCTTCTCTATTTAAAGATTAGAAAAGATGAGACAGTCAACCTTCAAGTAATAAATTGCATCTCCCTAAGTGTGTTGTCAAATGCATAGATTTTGCCTGAGTTGAGAAGAATCTAATACAAATTAAGTTTAACCTTGAAGTATAGAAATGTCTCAAAATTTAAAGAGGGAGAAAAACCCTTTAACTAGATTAAACTCATTTCTTCAAAGAAAAGTGGTTTTGAAAACAGGCAACTTCTGTTTCTGAAAAGATGGAGCAGAAATACTTTTCTCTATTTTTCCTGCTAAGTCTAACTAAAACCCCTGCACTTTATGTATAAAACAAACATAAAAAGACTCTGAAAGTTAAAAAAGAAGAATGAAGTCTGGTTGAGAACATTGGGAGCTAAGGAATAATACGGAAGTGATTTCCTGGGTTTTCTTTTTGCTTCATATATGAGTGGTATTGGGCAAACCAATAACAAAGAAACACCAGTGGATACAGACAACAAAAGTCCCTAGAAAAGCCTGCTCTTTCTACCCAAAGTACCATGAAAAGGGCAGCCTAGCAAGGCAGATAGCATTTAGATAATAACCAGTCTACTCCAGCCAAACACCACAGAAAAAACCTGCAACTCTATTCTACGCCCACCCAAACCATCAAAAGCCAAGAAGGGAACGTAGACTCTCTCTCTCAACCTCCCTGCTTGGGTGATGTCAGAGAATTCTTAGTGAAGTGTCAAGACTTTCATCATTGCCCAACAGAAATGAGGCCACTCACATTGCAGTGTCAGTAGAGGCCAACAAGGGAACAGTAACACAACACACCTCCCCATCCAAACCAGGGTGTTTTCAGTGGAAGCCTAGTAGAGAGCCACACTTCCTACACCTGCCAAGGAAGAACAAAGAGCTACTCCCCCAACCTGTGTCAACAGAGGCAGAATGGGGAACCTGGACTTCCACCCCCATGTGGCAGTAACAAGTCATGCCCCTACTTCCCCTGTTGCTCAGTATCAGAGGAGGTCTGCTAAAACAGAAGATGTGAATAAGATCCAAAGTCAGAAAACAGTACCCAAAATGTCCAGGTTTCAATTTTAAAAAAGTCACTTATTCTAAGAACCAGGAAATCTCAACTTGGTAAGAAAAAAGGGTTAATACATGCCAACATCAAGATATCAGAAAAGTTAGAATTATCTGATAAGGATTTTAAGGCAGCCATTTTAAAAAGGTTTTAAAGTGACTAAATGTCCATCAACAGAGGAATGGATAAAGAAGATGTGGCACATATATACAATGGAATATTACTCAGTCATAAAAAGGAACAAAATAGTGCCATTTGCAGAGACGTGGATGGATCTAGAAACAGTCATACAGAGTGAAGTAAGTCAACAAGAGAAAAACAAATATCACATAATATCACTTATACGTGGAATCTAGAAAAATGGTAGAGAAGAACTTATTTGCAAAGTAGAAATAGAGTCACAGATGTAGAGAACAAACTTATGGTTACCAAGAGGGGAAGGGAGGGGTGGGATGAACTGAGAGATTGGGACTGACATAAATACACTACTATGTGTAAAATAGATAACGAATGAGAGCCTACTGTGTAGCACAGGGAACTCTACTCAGTGCTCTGTGGTGACCTAAATGGGAAGGAAATCTAAAAAAGAAGGGATATATGTGTATGTAAGACTGATTCACTTTGCTGTACAGCAAGAAACTAACACAACATTGTAAAGCAATGATACTCTAATAAAAATTAATTTAAAAAACACACCAAATTAAAAAAAGTTTCAACAAGAAATTGCAAAGATTTAAAACAAATAAAAAATAGAAAGTCTCAGCAACAAAACAGAAAATCTCAGAAAACAAACAGAAGCTATAAAGAGTAACTAAATGAAAATTTTAGAACTGAAAACTCAATAATTAAAAAGCAAAACAAAAACAAAAACCTCAGTGGATGGACTAAAAAGCAGAAAGGAAAGCATAGAGCAAAGAATCAGTGAACTTGAAGACAGAACAATAGAAAATACTGAGTTCTGAACATCAGAGAGAAAATAGGTTGGAAGAAAATTGAACAGAGCCTCAGTGTCCAGTGGGAGTATGACATATATCTAACATTCATGTCATCAGAATCCTAGAAGGAAAAAAGAAAGAGGGGGGAGCTGAAAAAGTATATGAAGAAATAATGGCTGTAAACTTCCCCAAATTAGCAAAAAAAATACACAGATTTAAGAAGTTGAGCAAACCCTAAACAGGATAGACCCAAAGAAATCCATGCCTGGACATATGAGGCAAACTTCTTAAAACTGAAGATAAATTTAAAATCTTAAAAGCAGCAAAAGAAACCTTAACTATTGGGAATAGCAATTCAAATGACAGCCGATTTCTCATGAAAAATCATAGAGGCCAGAAGGAAGTGGCGTACATTTTTAAAGTGATGAATGAAAAGAATTGTCAACTACAAATTCTGTATGCAATGAAAACAACCTTTAGGAATGAAGGGAAAATCACATTTTCAGAGGAAAAGAAAAAGAATTTTTCACTAGCAGACCTACCCTTAAAAAAATGGCTGAAGGAAGTTCTCTGAAGAAAAAGAAAATGATAAAAGAAGAAATTTGGAATATCAAGAAGGAAGAAGTAACACAATAAGCAAAAATATAGGTAAATACAGTAGGCTTTCCTTCTCCTTTTGAATTTTCTAAATTATATTTGAAGATTGAAGCAAAATATATATATATATATAACACTGTGTGATGTGGCTCTCAATGCCTGTAGAGGAAATATTTTAAAAATTATAAATGTGGAGGTTAAAGAAAGATAAAAGAAGCAAAATTTTCTGCAGTTCACTGAAACTGATAAAATGTTGACACCAATACACGGGGATAAGTTATGGGTATATAATGTAATACTTAGAGCAACCCCTAAAAAAGCTATACTACGTGATACACTCAGAAGCACTAGAGGTAAATCAAAATGGAATTCTAAAACATATTCAAGTAATCCACATGAAAGCAAGACAAAGAAAACAGAAACAAAAAACAGAACAAACAGAAAACACAATGGCAGATCTAGCCCTAACATATCAATAATTACAACTTGGTCTAAATACACCAGTTAAAAGACAGATTGACAGAATGATAAGAAAAAACATGACCTCACTATGTGTTTTCTATAAGAAATTCATTTCAAAGATAATGAAAATTAAAATATACATAATGAAATTTAAAAGTTGGGAAAAAAGATATACCATGCAAACATTAATCAAAAGAAAGGAGTGCTATTGATATTAGATAAAAATAACTTCAGAGCAAAGAAAATTACCAGGAACACAGAGGGACATTACATAATAAGAGTCAGTCCACCAAGAAGACATAGCAATCCTAAATGTTTATGCACCAGACAACAGAGCTACAAAATGTATCAAACAAAAACTGATAGAACTGAAAGGAGAAATAGACAAACCCATAGATATAACTGAAGACTTTTATACCCCTCTCTCGGCAACTGATAGTACTGCTTAGAAGAAAATGAGCAAGAATACATAATACAATAATTCAACAATACCATCAACCAAAGGATCTAATCAGCATTTATAGAATACTTCATCCAACAACAGATGCACATTCCTTTCATATACCCATGGAACATATACCAAAATAGATCATATCCTTGACTATCAAACTTAGCCATTTCAAAAAAATTAATCTCATATGGAGTATATTTTCTGCCCACAGTGGAATCAAACTAGAAATGAATAACAGAAAGACAATAGGAAAATCTCTAAACACTTAGAAAGTAAACAATACACTTCTAAATAATCCACCAGTCAAAGCAGAAGTCTAAAGGGAAATAAAAATATATAAAACTGAAAGAAAATGAAAATACATATCATAACTTGTGGGACACAACTAAAGCCATGCTGAGAGGATATTTATAGCACTAAATGCTTACATTAGAAAAGAGAAAAGGTGTGAAATCAATAATCTAACTTTCTATATCAAGAAACTAGACAAAGAAGATCAAAATAAACCAAAAGCAAGCAAAGGAAGGAAATAATACAGACGAGAAAAAAAATCAATGGAAGTGTAAACAGGAAAACTATAGAGATCAATAAACTAAAATATAGTTCTTTGAAAAAAATCAATAAAATTGATAAACCTCCAACAAGACTGACAACAAAAAAAGAAAGAAGACACAAATCACTAGTGTCAGGAGTTAAATAGGGAAGAGTAATGCAGACCCCACAGATATCAAAAGGATAATAAGGGAATACTGTGAATAGTTATGCACATATAAATTTGATAATTTAGTTGAAATTGACTACTTCCTTGAAAAACACAGATTACCACAACTCACCCAACACGAAACAAATCATTTGACTAGACCTGTAACTACTAAGGAATTGAATTTAGAATTTTTTTAAACTGCTGAAAAATATATATCCATGCCCAGATATTTTCACTGAAGGATTATACCAAATGTTTAACGAAGAGTTAACACTATGTCTATACATTTTCTTCCAGAAAACAGAAAAGGAAGAGACATTTACCTATTCATTTCATGATGCTAGATTATCCTGACACCAAAATCAAAGCAAATACAAGAAAACTACAGACTAATGTTTCTCAGGAACTTAGATGCAAACATTCTCAGAGTTTTTTGAGGAAATAGGCCTTGAATGCACTTTGGATGGACATCCTGCCACCAGAAATAATATCAAGGATGTATCCAAGATTCAGGTTCTGCAGAGCATATGTGTTCTCCATACCACTGTCTCTTTACAATACAGACTGTGTGCCACTAAAAATATTTCATTTAAGTTTCACAGATAAGATGTCAGGTCCAATATCTGGATGATCAACAAAGATTTGAGACCAAATATCAAACTTAGAAATTTGCCTCACTAGACAAAACTAGAGTATCTTTAGAATCCTTTCTTGCAAACACATGTACTCTTCATTTTAGCCTTATTTCTTTAGCACCTATCTTGATCTGTCTTGGTCTGTCTCTCCCTTCAGTGTAGGGGAATTTACTGCTGCAGTGGTCTCTAGCATTCCACAATTCAGGAAAATCAAGTCATTGGCCTTTCCATCTGCCAGGGGTAGGGTAGGGAGGTATAGAAAGTAGAATGGAGAAGAGGAGGGCAAATCCTATAAGTTAGAGTCAGGTTGTGCTACAGCAGTGAGGAGAGAATAAGGGCATTCCACAGCCCGGAATATTTCTATAATGATTTCCTGAATGCTAGTCATTCAATACTAGTGTTTGATAGTCTGACCAAACTATAATGCAACCCTTGTTTAATCAAAATGCAATCAACTCTTGTGAAATAGGAATTTTATTTGGGACTTTCTGTCCTTAATTAAAGGAAACATCCTGGGCTAGTGGTTTGTTAGTGTTGCCTTCACAGCCACTCTTGACCCCATCTCACCTGCAGAATATAGCGAATTTGCTGTTTTGTAAATTCTGACAATCCTTTAGGAATCAACGATTCAGTGTCTTCTGACTGTAAGAAAAGAGAGGCTTATCTTTCAACAGATACATTTTAGTGTTTTAATCAGAGGGTCAGCAGACTTTTGTAGAGAGGGACGTGTTTTTATGGATATCAGAAGATTACTTCACTTTCTGGGTAATAGTTGCCACAAACTTTACTTCTAGTATTATCAGTTCTTACTTTTTAAAAAAATCATTGTACTACATACACCATGGAAAGAACCCTGAATTACAGGAAGTTTAGGGGGAAGTTTGGGGCAATCAATCAGATGTCCCATTTCTATTTTTTAAAAAGAGCAACTTAAAAACAAAAAGGTAGTCACTTAAATCCCATTACCACTTTATTTCCATGTATTTTTTAACAACTGGAAGTTTAGTTGGGTGGTAGATATGACACTTTAAAGGCTGATTTTTTAAATAATGAAAATTTGAGTAAATAAAATAAAATTAAAGGTTTACTGAGAATTTGCATAGAGCTGTGGTGACTTTTGAAAGATTATGATGTTGCCACAGCAACATTAAGAAGCTTCAACAAATTTTAAGTGAGAAGCTGAATTGAACTCAGTACTTCATAAAGACAATTTAGGGCTTACTGAATTATTGTAACAAATTCAGTACGTCAATACTTTGGAAATAAAGATGAAAATTAACATAAAAGAAGCCATTGTGATTGTTACTTTGAAATCAGTTCTTTCTCTATTTGATGACTTATTCCATTAAAAGTAACTATTACCAAAATGTATATACATAATATTTAGAATTGATACTTGAAAATATTTACTTCAAGTTGCTGGCTATTTGGCATGGGACATACAAGTTTTCGAAATACATTAAAACTAAATTTGCTATTTAATTAGTTAACGTAGATTTCAGTTTTGTAAAACAGAGTATGTAGTCAATGAACTTTTAAATGTTCTCATAAGCAAAGACAAGTTAAATCATAAGGTGACAGCTGATAAAACATTTTTTGTGTGAATGATTATTACTTTTACAATTATCACCTTTAAAGCCATTACAAAGATATAAATGGTTATATCATTTTAAAGGCAAAAGGATCATTATTTCTTTCACTAACCTGTTTCCAGTCTAATAAAAATACCAAACTAAAAACAATATTATTAATGCAAGTATCTGCTCTGTTATCTGCTTTGTTGTCAACTATATTTGATTTTCAACTCTTTTTGCACTTACCTCATCTGTAGACTCAAAGTCCTGTTTGCTGCAAGAATGAAAAAAAAAAAAAACAGACAACCTTAGGAAAATATATACATTGATCATATATAAATGTTAGTGTTCTAAATATTTTACCTTACTTTTTGATATATAACATATCAAGTGAAATTTATAATCCTAATGAAAAATTTAAAGCTAACTAAAATGGCACTTGACAAAAATAAAGTTAATTTTCCTGGAATTAGCTAATCTATTAAAAATGAACAACATCCAAATAACAAGCCAATATAATATGCAGAATTACTACCATTCATTAACACCGGTTTATTTGTGACTAGATGTAGAAGTCTTCAGTTTGGCAAAAAATACTATCTGAGTGAACAAATAACAATAAGTCATTTTCTATTTCCACCTTATTTTTCTCCTTGTATTGCTCCCTTTTAATGCTGATTCCAGCTTCTCCCTACAGTGTCTTTAAGTTATTCATACCCTTTTAGTCAAAACCAAAACTTGTAAGACTTCGCAATCTACACTAATCATTCAATCTACACTACAGTATGTATAGCAATGACAAAGCTTAAAAGGATATTGGAATGTTTACATAGGGACATAGCCTTAAGCAACATCACCAAAATTCTAGTGGGAAAGTAGAATTTCCAGCATCAAAATGAAGGTTTGTCCATGAGGGTTGGAAGGCCCTTTGTGAAGCCATGTTAGGTAGGCAAATGCTGCAAGCGAATTGTTAGTGGTTATACCAGTCCGGCACTGGCTCCTTTGGGGAATGGTGAAAGCTGAGAAGGATACAGTTCTAGCGTTGCCAGTGGCAACAGATAGGCCTTTATTTTTGCCTACTTGTTCCCCCTGCACTTCGTGGAAAAATTGGGTCCAAAATACATACGATGAACATACTTCTCAAACAAACAAACAAAAAACTGTACACATGTTCTGACAGCAAGACAAAGTATGTTAAAGTAAGACTATCTTAGGAAATCATAGATATATGACTGCCATATCGTCAGGTACAACAGAAACATATTTTAGAGATATAAGCTAGTACATTAGCTCCTACCTTTACCTTCTAAGTAAGTGCTTATGAGTAATATATTGCTTACAAAGATAAGTGGGTCACTCACTGTGCGAAACCTCTCGCATGCATTTATAGAAATACACAAGCTAATGTGGAGAATGAGAACTGAAGATTTCATTTCCTGAGGCATGACTGCATATGTGCAATTGTCTGTATGTATGTATGTGGTATTTCCTGGGTTGCTCAAAATATAAATTTTGGGGAGGCCCTAGCGAAAAAAAATGAAGTATCTTCTACTTTTTTAGTGTGTTACTGAAGTAACTGCATGCATATATTGGAAGCTAAAAGAAGTTAAAATATGACTCACAATGCAGGTATAGTAGTCTTGCATTACTGTTAACTGGAATTATTATCACAATATTAATAGACCTTTTATGTTTAAAATCCCAATTCCAATGCCAACCTAGTACACATGTCCCTAGCCACTTACTTCTTTCTACAAATAAGAAAACAAAACAAAGAAACAAACAACAGCACTTAATACTGGAATTTACAAATGTAACCAAAATGGTTTCATAAGACAACCTTTCTTAATTCTGACCTTCCAGTCTACTTATTGCTGAATTGCAATTTAGAAAGAGAAGAAAAGTGGAGAAAAAGGGGTGGGAGAGAGAGAGAGAGTGGAAACAAAGAGAGCAGAGGCGGGAGGTGGAAAGACCATTGTGGATTATATCTCCATTCAGTACAAGGTGATGGTGACTATAATTACAGTGGGCAGAAAAAAAAAAAAAGAGAGGCACTCACTATGTCATCTCACCTCCTAGGAAGGAAGGAATGTAATAAGGAAAAAAACAAAAGAAGAAATAAAAGGCGGGTGGAATGAAGAGAAAGAAACTGACAACCTTCTGACAAACAAAAACTTAAGCACCAAAATTTTATGAGACCCTCTCCACTCTGGAGTGTTTACTAATGTGGAGACCCCAGCTTTCTATTTTCTTTTTAGTATTTTTAGCTACTCTAGAAATTAAACTCAATGTTTTTCAGTGCTTAATTACACATTTAGGTCACCCATATACATTTATCAAAACCCTCAATGACAGGGAGTTATTTCAAAACCCCAGATTACATCTCTACCTGGTTGGTCATTATAAAACAATTTAACTTCCCTTGCTCAATTACTTTGTCTACTTCTAATTAGTATGAGACTAATACATTTGGAATATATTTAACTCTCATTCTATAAACCTTTATTGAGTAGCGACTTTGTCAAGGCCATGTGCTCTGAACTGGATTTCAGCAATCCAAACACAAATATTATCTTGTCCTGTACGTGACACAAACATAAGTGATCTAAGGCAAAATTTGAGCAATGTAAAATTGGTCTAAGTCCTCCAACGTTTTCAAATTTGATGATTCAAAAATTGATAATTTCTTTAATGTGTCTGCAATATGTTAAATAATTTAGAGACACATATCTAGTATGAAAGGTTAAGTGATTTGCCTAAGGTAAAAAGGTTCTCCCATAGGTTCTAGCCCCAGATTTGCCACTTTTGTGGCCTTAGGTCAGTGGTTCTCATACTTTAACATGTATCAGAATCCTCCAGAGGGCTTGCTGCTTGGCCTTACCCTAGAGTTTTTGATTCTACAGGTCTGTTTCCAGACCTGCATTTCACATGATGCTCCTGCTGCTTGTAAGTACATGTCTTAAATAAATCATTTATTGCTTATAACAAATCTATGAAATAAGTATTATTATAATCCCTATTTCACAGATGAAGAAACTGAGGTACAGAGAGGTTAAACAGGTTGCCTGATATTACACATCTAGTTTGTAACAAAAGCTGGGACATGAACCCAGGGTATGAACCCTGCATCTACAATCAGGGTACTTAAGAATATATGTCTCTATATGCTCTTGATTTTACCATGTGATACTTTAACAGAAATATTCACAAGACATGATTAATGCACAGAAGAGGAACATCTAGACAAAACAGTATCTAGAGAAGGCTTTGCAGAAAAGCTGAGTCATGGCTTATAGGTATAAGAGTACTCAAAACTGTTTGAATCCATCTCAAGCACTTAGTAGCTATGTGATCTTAATAACTTATTCTCTTTGGGTGTCCATTTGAAACTTTCTATGGTTACTGTACAAATTAGATAATATTCAAAAAGCACTTAGCACAGTGTCTGGCACAATAGTGGACACTCAATACATAATAGAGTACTCAGAATGAGGGGAAAGATTTTAAGGTAGTGACATTATGCAAATGAATGAATGTGTGAAATAGTTGTTTGGATAAGGGGAGAGGATATTGATTAGTATAAAACACTGATGAAGGCCTAGCTGAAGATGGAAACCATGCGTTAATAATTACCATGCGCTTTTCTCTGTGCTCAACTGCATGGATGTAGCATAAAGAAGGCATTCATTCATTCATTCAACAAATATTTATTAAGCACCACACTAAATCAGTCACCACACTAGGCACCAAGGAAACCAGGGTAAATGAAACAGCCCTCGGGGGGTAGTGTCTGAATTCTAGGGGTAGTGGGCAGTGAGTACTGGATAGAGGAAAAAAAGAAAACAATAGATAAAGCAGAGAGCTAGACTGATCCAGAGTTGGGATTTTGCTAAGTGGCAGGGACAATATGATAAAGAGGCAAGGCAGTTGAGGGTGATGCTAAGAGAATGGTTGCAATCATGAATAAGAAAGCAAGAAAAGTTGGGGAGGAGGGAGCTAATAAACAGAATTGTAATAAGCAGAGAGAAAAGAGAGAAGAGATTAAAGATCTCTGAGAAGTAGAAGAATCTAGTTGGTGAAGTTTATACTGACTTTCCTTTAACCTCCAGATTTTTCTGAGTTTATGGAGCTTTCCTAAATTTTGCCTGACAGATGACCACATATATGATGTGACTATGTAGTAGAAGGCAACTTTTGGAGTATAGCTTATGAAATTCATTTCATGACATAATGTGCTCTCATCTACACATGAATAGTTGATAAATTGTTTATGTTTATATATTTAAATAAGTATTATATATTATTATATAATATTATTGTATAATATACATATTTACATTAACTTATAAATAGATACTTGTATAATTTATATTTCATACATTATATGTAATATATAATATTAAAATAATACATGACATTTATAATAATACACAACCCTAAATGTATATTAAACTCTGGTCTTCATATGTTGAGCACACATCAATGGAAGATAAACAGTAGTGTGTTGGCAATGGGACTGTATCTTATATCATCAGTGTAATATCTTAAAACAAGTCATCGTATGCCACACATTTTTGGAGCTCCTTGTCTAAGTGGTTGCATTTTTCATCAAAGTACGTTAGAAAAGAAGATCCACGTAATTCTTTACTGACCCCAAAATAGCTGGTAAGATATCTTCAATGATTTTCATTAAGTACATTAACTCTTAAAATGAGATATTTCCTCAGATCTGCTCATACAGTTGCCTGTTTCCCCATTAAAAGTACTCAAGTTTTGCTGTAAACCTAAAATTGCTCTAAAAAATAAAGTCTATTAAAAAATACCAGGGTATTGTAAAATGTTTGAAAGCTACAACACCAAGCAAATGATATATTTACAGTACCTTCCTCCAATTCTCTGCAAATGTTCTAATAAGCAGTGATATAGATTTGTATTTTTACGGCATAGATCAGCAAGCAACTCTCCAAAATACTTGGGGTCCAATTTTTCAGGGCCATCATCCTGAATTATCACCTGAAGAAAATATCAATCACAATTATAAACAATATTAAGTTCACAGATATTTTGCTGTGAAATGAAAAAAGTGAAATAACCTATTAATACAAGTAACTCATCACAAAGTCATCACATAAATGAAGCCACTAAATTTTCTTTGTAGCTGATGTATACATTTTTCAATATGGGAGGAATTTAAAGGAAAAGCAACATTGTAATGGCATTTTCAGTTTCATTTCACTCAAGCCTAAGTGATCTAATGAATGCAAACCTTGAATAATTTACATAAAAATTCTTGAATATAGATGCTTAAATGAAAAGTAAAACAAGTAAATCAAAATCTCTGAGTTGCTCATTATCATCACATGGCTTATCCATCTGTCAGTGTCATTCCACTGATCCTCAGGTTATCTCATTGCTATAGCTAGCCAGGTAGATAACGCCTTCCTGCCTCACCTCTCTATATGTGTTCCTTCCAAAACCATTAACTTTCCCAAGTAGAAAAGGGCATTTCTTTAGCCAAGGACATTCAAGTACTGAGCTCTCTGTTAGAATCTGCACACAAGTAATTTGATACACTTAGTATTTTGCCTATTTTTCTCTCTTAGCCAATTATAATGCCCTCATAACGCTGTGAAAACCATGGAGTTTTTTTTTTCCTTCCAGTTTAATTTGACAGAGTAATTTTATAGTTTCAAATTATCTTAAAGTATTTATTCCTTTTTTTATTTTTGCACAAATATTCTCCTGTCATTGCACTGTACACTAGTTAACATGTTGGGTATACAATTCTTTGCCCACATTAGTAATTTGTGCCGTTACTAAAACTCTTGCTCTTGTGATTTCAGTGTGGCACCCAAATAAAGAGTCACAGAGTCCAGGACGGGGAACGATTTGCATCAGCCTCGTGTCTGTGTTCATAGATAAAAAGAGGTGTTAAAAGTTACCAAAGGAAAAAAAATAGTTACCAAAGGGAGGTGATTTTATTTTGAGAAATGATAACAATAACTAATATTTATTTAGCTCTTACTATGTGCCAGCCATTGTGCTATGAACTTGACATAAAGATTAAATGAGGTAATGTTCTCTTGTAACCACTACACAATATTGCCTCCCAGAAGACCTCTTGTGTTTGTTTTCTCAGCAACTTAGGAATTACACTGCCCCTAACTGCATTATTTTGGAGGTTAGCTGGGCTAGGAGTTGAAACAGTCAAGAGTTTGATTTTCTTATTGTGAAACCATGCAAAATATGGCTGAAATTCAGTTAATAAATTTTAATCAGTTAGAGAAAAGGTGAGAGCATTAAAATTGAAGAATGGGTTCTTTTGACCAAACAGCCATCAAGGTAGAATAGCAAGAAACAAAATTTCACTCCTTTGTATATATATTCCTCCTTAGTTGTATACAGTCCACAAGTTACAGTAACATTTGAGTAACACAGTAAAAACCAAAACCCACTTGGGTTCAAAAATGTGGAGGGGAGAGGACAGACAGAAATCAGATTCTCTTCTGCTGTTAAGTCTTTGACAGGACTACACTCAATAATAAAATGAAATTTCCTAACCATAAACTATGACGTGCCAGTTAGCAATATTTTCATTACTAAATCACAGGTCGGTAGATTTTAGTTTTATTGGAACTGTTTGTAGGTGTGCTTTGACATTTCTTTTAGAGCTGGCTCAAAACCATGTTCTTGTTGACTTGAAAAAGCCAAGACAGGGAGCCTCCCAAGGAAACATGAATGTTTTCAGTCAGAATGGTAGCTCTAATGGATGGAGGTTTTCTCTCTGTGACAATATTGAGTTGATAGGATACTTGAAATAAAATTACCTCACATCAGCATTTCTGCCTGATGAATGAGAGCTATCTTGAATGTCAATCTAAGATAATAGCTTTAGCTTTCACATAAAAATAGGGCAGGAATACAAACTGTGCTGAAGAATAGTTGTTCCAAGATACACAAAATGTGATATTTCTCAAAAAATTACAAAAATTATTAAAGATTCTTCAGCATGCATCAATCAAATACCTTTAATCAGATCACTATTTGACCATAATAATGGCTAAGCAGTCCAACTCCTTGCGTCTGATTGCTAGTAAAAGCCTCTGATTAGAATTACTGCCACAAACCCAAGGCAAGCAACAATGTTTAAGTGTGAAACCAGAGGCAAATCAGCAGTCATTTTTCAGAAAATCTATAGAAAGGAAGTACCTTGTAAAGGAAAACCATGGGCTTCACCTCACTACTGCCTTGGAAGTTCTTGTCCTGTTTCTAGTCTGGAGTTTTGTTTCTTATTTGTGGTCTATGAGATTCCAGGTGTGGAATTTCTTTTGTTAGTATCTACATTATATAAACTTTGATATTCAAAGATGATACTTTTGACCAACCATATTTACAAAGTTCAGTGGTAGTGATTATAGAGTCCTACCGATAGTAGACACACAATAGTTGCAGATTTCAGCTGAGCTATCTATATTTTCTTCCCTGGCCCCCTTCAAGCTTAGTGACACACATTTTTGAGAATACTGTTCAGGACTAGGGATAGCCTGTGATGAAGGCACAAATCACAATCTAGTAGTAATCTCGTAGTAGAGGGTACTGGCTTAATTAAATTTATCCCCACTAGGTAACTGGCTTATGTATGCATTTTTCACCTATTTAGAATGGTTGCTTAGTGGATTCAAAAGTGCTTAAAATGCCATATTATATAAAAGCAATTATACATAAATGCCTAACCCTCTAAAAGGTCATGGACATGTTAACTAATAAGGTCTTCTGTGCTTAGACCCTCCTGGGTAGTAACTTTTTGCTACATGACAACAGAAAACATCACTATTAAGGAAAGTTTACAACGTATAGGTTGTAATAATAGGATAGGATAATAGGATTAATAATAATCCTAATAATAGGATAATAGGATTATTATTAATATAATATATATTATATTATATAATAATATATATTATATAATATATATAATATAATATCCTAATAATAGGAGAATAGGATTATTATCCTGCAAACCTTATGGTGACACTTGTAGATAAATAAGGTTACTGCTTCATTAATTTTGCTTTGATTTGGGACGTTTAATAGCTGTCAGATAGATTGAAACCATAGTTAATCCAGTTGGCATTAATCCCCATGAAATGAAATGCATTTTATGTACAATGTCATTTAGCTAACAAGGTAAAAAAAAAGCAATAATTGGTCTCTTCCTATTTTGTACCACAAGAAGAAATCCTAGGAGAAAAAGTATCAGAATTTTAGGTTCTGAAAATCCTCAGTGCTATTTTAATCTCCATAGATATTTTAGTAAAGAAATGTTGCACTATACAGTACCTGGTACACAGAAGATTTTCAATAAATGTTGTCACTGAATTGAATGTACTGTACAATAATTATAATTCTAAAATGAAGACTTGACTCATAACAACAGTCCTGTACTTGAAATAAAGACCTAATTTAATTTCCTGTGAGTAACTCTAGGCAGAAAAGTGTTGCAATGAAGAAAGAATGGAAATTGGAGCCAAAAGTGGAGCGCCCACTTCCTAGTTGTGGCCTAAGTGTATGTACTGCTTAACCTCTCTGAACCTCGGGTTGCTCAACTGTAAAATGCAGGTAATTTAGTACTTATTTTATAAAGTTGCTGGAGGTATTACTTTGGAGGGGGGCAGGTAAATTATTAAACTGTCATGTAAAAACCATCTTATAAATAATGGTTTTATTTAACTTAACACATATGGACAATTGGTTATTTGAATAATGATAGGAGTGGAAGATGGTTATAAATTTTCTACATGACTCTCAGCTACTGGAGAGTAGAGACACTCTTTTTATACATTTCTTTAATTCCAGCACATACCATAGAGTCTGAGTATAGTAGATCCTCAGTAAACATTTGTTGCATGAGGAAGTTGTCATAAAGGATGCAATTTGGGCTAAATGTTAACTATAATAGATGGAAAAGCACTAATTGGAAGAGGTGCTTTAACAAGGCAACTGAAGGGCTTCCCTGGTAGTACAGTGGTTAGGAATCTGCTTGCCAATGCAGGAGACACAGGTTCGAGCCCTGGTCCGGGAAGATCCCTCATGCCTGGAGCAACTAAGCCTGGGCGCCACAACTACTGAGCCCACGTGCCACAACTACTGAAGCCCATGTGCCTAGAGCCCATGCTCCATAACAAGAGGAGCCACCGGAATGAGAAGCCTGCACTCCGCAACGAAGAGTAGCCCCTGCTCACTGCTACTAGAGAAAAGCCCGTGTGCAGCAACGAAGACCCAATGCAGCCATAAATAAATAAATAAATATTTTTTTTTTTAAAAAGCAGCTGAAATTGACTTTATCCGAAACCTAGTCAATGCTGTCCTTGCTCCGTTTTTAGTGTATATGTATAGCTTTTGACATGTTATTATAAAACAAGATGATTCTTCCACTCCTCTAACAACTGAAAATAAGTAGATGGTTTGGATTGTCATTTTATAATGAATCCAGGTGACTAATTTGTAACTGCTTAAATTATTCTCTCTGACTGGAAAATAAAATATATTTTCCTATAACACACGTGACTACTGAAAACTTATGAAGCTTTTTCTCATGAACAATGGGAATTTTGCCACTAATCATGTTTTTCCCCCTTGTGGCTTCCAGAAATCTCAGAGCCAAGTTTTTAGCCCATTTTTACTAATGACATGGAACTCTGTGGCCTGCATTTCTGTGTACTCTATCTTCCTTCTGGTGTTATTGCCCCATTATATTTACACTGTCCTTGACATTTCTTTTTCTGTTCTATTACATCTTATTTGTTCTTTTAAGCCACTCTAAATACTTTTTGTAATGAAGCAGGAGATATATCCCAATGAAATTAATTTTAAATGAATATGTATTTTTTAATGCATAACTTCTTGGAAACATCTTTGTTGCTACTTTTGTCTCTTCTCCACCTCTCTGCCATTTCTCTATTCTGCCATTCCTTAGTATGTAATTTATTCAAGGAATGGAACCAGTTCTTTAT